CTGAAAATGCGTCGTTCAGAAGAGTCGCATTGTTGCAATTTTAAATACTACTCCCATGCAACTTGCAACTATGATGTTTGTTTGTATTGTATTGCATTCATTCTTCAGAGACAAAGGGAGATGTCAGATGTCAGCAGGTAGCATAAAATCCCCAAATGGAAAAACACACACTATAGCGATTAGAGATGGCCTACACCTTACCACACCCAGGAGAGTCCACCCAAGGAATTACTGTGATGTTGTTTTGATCCGACTCCACATTTGCGGTTTGCTAAGACATGTGGTTGCTTGTGGCCCATGAAAGCATCTCCAACCTGTGCAGACGCCACTGGAGTTTATGCTTCGTGGAGAATGGTATGGAGAAAAGATTGGTCTTCGATATCTGGATGATGAATATCACATCAAGCTGCTCACTATGGAGACACTTGGCACCCTCTGGGCATGACTGTTCATTTGCGGTTTCAACAAGCAGTGTGCGAAGGTCAGAACCCACAATCTAATCTAACCCTAAGAAGTTGGAAGGATTATGCAAGACACATCACATCAGTCATAAGTTAAGAATTTGTGTGTGACTCAGAGTCAGACTGGCAGACTGATAGGACATGCCTGTACAGCACACACACAGTCACACACACACACATGACTCATGCTCTCAGAGAGTTGCGTCTCAGGAGCCGGGAGTTTGGCCTGCCACAGTCAAGGTCCAGGCTTTACATATTGATGGTTCGCAAAGACCTTGCTGACACTGGGCAAATCAGTGGTTTGGTGCATGTGGTGACGCAAGCTTTGCCCAGTCAGCTGGGGCAAAGCTCCGTGCAGGAGGTCAAGGAGTACGTGAAGACAGTTCCTCTGGGGGGACTCTTGCACCCCCCCAAGTCCAAGGACTGTTCCTGGTCCAGAGGGGAACTTGCCACCTGGAGGGTCCCTGTAATTGGTGATGGGCTCCTTAGAAACGGTTTCCAAGGGCTTCCAAAGCAGGGTTTATAAATAGTCTCACAGGATTTATCGATAGTCTTGCCAGATTTATCGATAGTCTCTGTTCATTTTTTGATAGGGCCCTTTCCCCCTCCCCTGTTCTCTGCCAAACTCCCCACAATTGCCTTTTTGTGGAGGATGGGCGCCGCACAGAAAAGGGCCAGCAAAAGGAAGAGGCGCTTCTTCGCCAATGGGGTGTCATTGGCAGCAGAAGGTTTAGCTCCACCCTTGATGAGGAGATTTCAGCCCAGTTGAACACTCGTGAGAAGACTTGTCTGGATGCCCACGCCGTACTCATAAAGGCACCCAAGCTGATTTTTCATTTTGTCCAGTTGTTAAGTTGTTGTTGTTGTTGTTACAGTGTTTCATCCAAGAGGAAGGCTCGTTCAGACTTGACGCGACTCAATTCATTTGTAGTTGTAGTAGTTGGTTGTTGTGTGTTTTGTGTTAGATTAAGTAATAGTCATTTAGGCAAACTAAGACTCATTACTGGAGACTAGAAAATGATAGTTTAGTCGCGCTGATGATGCCAAACATCAACTGAACATGTTACATATAGTTCGAAACCGTTTCAAACCGTTTTGAACTATTTGTAAACCACTGTTTATAAATAGTTCGGAACCGTCTTAAACCGTTTTGAACTATTTGTACTGCCCAAACCCATTTAGTCTCAACTTAGTCTTGATTAGTCTTGAATAGTTTGGATTGTATATATAGTTCGAAACCGTTTCAAACCGTTTTGAACTATTTGTAAACCGCTGTTTATAAATAGTTCGAAACCGTCTTAAACCGTCTTGAACTATTTGTAATATGCCTGGTTTTAACATATCATAATTTATATAGAAATAAACTACTTATAACTTATAATTTATAGTTTATAACTAACTTGGAACTTAGAACCAACGAACTACTTATAACTTATAACTTATAACTACTTATAACTTAGAACTAACTATGACTAGACTATAACTATAACTAACTATTAAACTTATACTGTATATATCACACTATATAATACTTACTGACTATACTTAACTATGACTCTGACTATTACGATATGATATTGCCATATTGCCTTGTAACACTTGTAATTCATAACCTCCTCCTACTACTGCTACTAGCAGAAATGCCACTACTAGTGCTACAAGACTACGGACTACGACGACTACAACTACTACGACGACGACGACTACTACTACTACTAATACTACTACTTAATGTTTTCTGACATCTGTACTGTCTAAACTCTAAACTGTTCTACACTATGACTATGACTATGACTATGACTATGACATGACTATGGCTCTGACTATAACTAACTTACTTAACTAAAGTAAGTTCATGACTATGACTCATGACTATGACTCCGACAAAGAATGATTGACGGTTCGGTTGACGTAGATAAACATTGACTATGAGTCAGAGTCATAGTCATACTATGGTATGCTATCCTGGCTATCCACTTATTTACATGAGTTAAAAATGGCTTCAGCCACAGCTTTAAACTGATGCGTGAAGCTAAGCTAAGTATCAAATGCAACTGTACTGGTAAATATACATGTAGCCGATAGCCATAGCCTCTCACGAAAGTCTGAGTACTTACAACTTACATTAAAAAACACCTAAACCACACACAGTCAGGGTCCGGTACACATAATTTTGCAAATTGAACAACACAGTTTAATTAACAAAGAAACTTCCCCACTGTGGAATTTATACAAGAAAACGGCTTAGGCTTAGGCTTAGGCATAGTGGATTGTTGAACATAGTGTATTGGTACTTTGGTTAAGAGCAGCCACTTTAACTATATGAACACACTGTCACTGACCAAACAAAATGGGTGATCTGACAGTATGTGTTTCCTGTACATTCTGCATTTTCCATGGTAGAGCTCGTATCACATGGGCTTCACTGGTAAGACTCACATTGAGAACTTTATTGGTTGATTGCAATTGGTTTTGTCAACCATTGTCAAAGGCAAAGTAGTTGTTCTGATTTGGACTGTTTTTTTTCAACTTTCTTGTTGCGATGTCAGAATTTGTTGTGCCCGTGTGCCTGCAGCTTCACATCACTTCACCAAGGCTAAGGGACTGGACCCATCAGGTGCTCGATGCGTTTCAGATTTGGCCCGCTACAGCCTCATTTGAATTGGATGAATCATTCAGCCTCAGTCATTTGTGGAGTACCCAGCAACCCAGTACCAGTACCACTAGACCTAGCAAAGCAAAACTGAGGTTCCTTGCCAAGAATGGCCTTTACAACAGGATCAAGAACCACAGCTCTGTCCACCTCAGTGAAATTGTTCGACTGGGATACCCATGAGCTGCTGACCGCCCAGGAGTTTGTTAATTCAGAATGTTAAAATTATCCTCGCAAATTGCTTGAATCCTGAAAAACTGGACTTGGATTTGTGGCATCTCGATTCTGATTGTGGCTTGACACTGATGTTGATTTTGTTGTCAGGCGCCAAGCCTCATACATTATCGGAGTTTGAAGTTTGCGTGTCATGTCCTTCATGATTGGCGCAGGACTTGTGCGTATTGCAAGGCTTTGATCCTTACAAGTTGGACCTTGACACCATGACATACTCCGAGGTCAACACGTTGATAGGCGCCAACTTTTTATCCATGAATGCAATGTTTTCAATGCCTTTTGCCGTGCTTGAGCCTTTGTAGTTGTGGACTGTTGACACTTTTGTGTTTGTCAGCTACTTGCTTGTGACAGGAGATGCTTGGAGTGTACCAGTTTGCGGTGGCATACTGTTGACTATATTGGCTGGATTTTTTCCAGGAAACGCAGGCTATCCAGCCATCAAGCTTCAGGCAGATCCATGTCGTGGTCGTCCAGAGCCTGATGATCCCTTCTTCGATTCATGCAGCGACACTGAGACTGAGGATTCATGGGAGATTAGCACCCCTGTCAGGAGTGAGCCCCCTACTTTGCTCCTTGGACAAAGCCCTGCAAAAAACTTCTCCGAGGCGATGAGATCCTTTTCTATCACCATAGTCACGAAAGATGGAGACCTTTGCAGTCTGTGTGGCAAACAGCTTCTGAAAGACTCAGTTCGCTTTGGCTGGACCTGGCAGGAGATGGGTGGCGTGACACTATACTTCCACCCGGATTGCTTTATCACTTGGGTGGTCCAGGAGGGGCTGGAAGAGAGTGCCACTAAGGTTCTTCTTGATTAGTCTGAGCTGCGTGGCAAATCCTCAGCAGAGGTGAATTACATCCTGCACAAGGTTCTGGACGTGCTGGCGGGCGTGTTTGAGCGTGATGAGAGCAGCCACGTCAAGGAGGACAATGAGGGGACCCATGAAGACACTCAAGCCGATGCCTCTCGTTGATCAGCTTGGTGGGAAGCAAGCCAAGTTGAAGTTTTGTATTTTGGACTCAGGCAGCGGCATAGCCACACGGCCTAGAGTCTCTTGTTTGCCCGTGCTCTTCGCCACCATGGCATGCATTCAGCGCACATGATTTTGAACAGGGCATGGCGTGGCATACTCCACCACAGATTTGAAGCAGAAAAAAGTACTAATCTTCTTTCCCTCTTGCAGAGCATTGGTCTGCTTCAGCCCACAGGAAGTCACGGGGTCGTGAGTTGCGGTCTGCGTAGTCATTAGAATGTACGTTCCACTTGCTGCTTTTGTTTGAGTTGGGTCAGTTGGGTCAGTCAAATGTTGACATTCAGAACCAATGCTTCTTGGCCATTACGAGTTACATTGTTGAGTTGAGTTGAGTTATATTATATCCCTCACATGTGCATCGTGCGTGATTGAAGTTGGTTTTGGCACTTGAAGATCCCACTCGTTCACGCCTTGCTCTCGCGATCATTGACAGTGGTGTTGATGGCTTCGGCTTCGGAAGACCAGCAAGCGGGACAGAATGAACTCTCAGCAGATGAGCCAGACTGGCCTGAGGACACCTGCGGCCAGTGCGTGCAGCAGTTCAACTCGCAAGACGAGGACAAGTGTTCAACATGTTGGTATGGTTCTGTTAGTGGTCCAATGTCAAATGAGTCCCCTCAAATGCGCAGTTTCTGGCTGAATCTTCAGGATGCTGTTGAGGGCACACCTCTTTTGGTAGCGCCAGCAAAGGGAGGTGCAAAAGGTGAGTGCCTTCGTTGCTACTACATACGCCGTGGTTCTTTCAAAGATCTGGATGCTGCTGAGCTGCGGACTTTGATTTTCAAGAACCCTGCTTTGAAAACAAAGTCACTTTGCCTTGCACAGCATCTTGTTGTTTTTACTTGGGGAGTGAGGAGGTGAGGTTTCTTTGGGAAGGCTTTGAGGTGGTGCTGATGTTCTGTGGCCCTCTTCAGCTCAAATGAGGTTCAGGTCCCTGCGACGACGCCACATAAAGCTTACAACACGCAATCCAGGATCACGCCCCAGGCATGAATCCGTGGACGTCAAGCACTACACAGAGCGCAAAGATGAATCATACTGTGACATATACCAGGACTGCAATGGTTGGCTTTGTTGGAGTTGTTCAGGTTGAACGTGACCAGACCAGGTCCTTTCATAGACCCTCACCAGCCCTCTCTGTCACCCTTCACACGAGGAAGGCGAGAGGATGGCGCTGACAGATTACATCAACACCAAAATCACTGATGAACAGATTCGCAAAAAGTTGAAGACGGTTGCGCAGAAGAAAGCCTATGTTTCCAATGTGCCTGGACTAGACAGCCAGCCAACTCTTAGTAGATGTTTTTGAAGTTTGTCGTCATCTCATGTTGGGAGTCTGGACAACTCATGTTCAATCAATGGAATGGTCCGCCTTGAAATTCTGAGGTGCTGAACCTTAAATTGCAGCAGGACTGAATGACTTCAGATTCAGCACACAGTGTGTCAGTGAGTCTCTATGTATAAGTGCGATTGGCAATATAATATATTATATACCCTGTTAAACTTCCAGCAGAAGTGCCGCCATTTGGCTCCCTGAAGGATGACATGGGAACAGAAGGAGTTATCATTGTGGCATCATCGAGCACCAAGAAAGTTCGAATGGGCAGCCGTGTCTCTGCGTCACAAATCCGCCAAGAAGAGCATGAGAACTCAGCCGCCGCCAAGTCCAAGCAGGAGAAGAACAAGTTGAACAACCAGATGCAGGTAAACACGAAGGACGGACTGCTCTCACTACCCACGTCTCTCTATCTTTTCACGCTTTCTCTTGACAACTTTTTGTGCCAAGTTTTTTGCTAAGGGGACTAAGGACTATGAACTATGATGACAATGACTATGACTAGACTAGACTAGACTACTATTAATGATGACTATGACTCATAGACTATGACTATGACTATTACGACTATTGGTCTACGAGTCTATGACTATATGACTATGATTGACCATGTCATGTTATGTTTTTTCTCGATTGATCCAGATCAAAACCATTCGATACTGTACCACATAGCGCACACCTGTTTTTCACAGGAAGAGGAGGATGTGGCTTTGAATGGCCAACCTGAGACGGTGGAAGAGGATGCTCCAGCAGGTGCTGAAGAGTCAGATGCAGCATCTTCTGATGAGATGTTTGGCTTCACAGCATCAGCTGCAAAGGCAAAGCCTGCCAAGCCAGCACCAAAAAGGGCCCGCCGTGAAGAGTCAGCAGCTACACCAGTGCAGACCAAACAAAACAAGGCTGGACCTTCAGATGAGCAGCTTGCGGCAAGACTTGAGAAGGCTACTGCTGGGATTGAGTTGTTGAAGAAGATTACCGCACTTAGCCTGTGGCAAGGCAGTGTCAAAGAGAAGGATGTGAGCAGCAAACTTGGAAAGTTGTGTGAGTTGCAGACTCAGCTAGAAAAGGATCCCGGTGAAGTCGCGCAAAGACTTGCCCAAGAGCTGCAGGGTTTGATCAACCAAACAAACACTTGTCTCTTGGCCATTGAGAATGCCCGCGATATGGTTGAGAAAGCAGGTCTCAGCAACCCGCAGTTTGCGTTCGACAATGATGAGTTCAAGATCTATGAAGACTTCTTTGATGCAATGCAGATTGACTGCCGAACTGCCATTTTGACAGAGATTGGCCGCAAGCTCACTGAGGCTGGCGTATGGTCACAGTTTGTGATAAACCACTAGGGTGATAGGACTAGGCCACCATGTTGAAAAGACACCCTTTGCCACTATCATGAATTGTGGATGTCATGTCATTCCCTTCTGAGATGGCCTTCACTGCTGGCAATGACGGCTACTTCTGGGACTTTTTGAGTTTGGATGCTCACACCAAACAGGTTTCACTTGGCACCGCACTGCCTCCAGAGCAAGCAAAGACCCTACAAGTGCAATTGTTCAATGGCTGGATGGACAAATTTCGAACAGCAAGTCCAGAATCCACTGACTGTGCACTTCGTAGCTTCCAGAAGGGAGATGACCTTTGGGCAGCAACTTTCAGCAGGACAGGGCTCCAACCCAGTCAGAACCAAGTTTCATTCCAAACAGGGTAGCAAGTCGGTAAGTAGTAGTCAAACCTTGGGAAGGGCGTTCAAGCTAGATAGGTGGCCTCTGACATTCACCATGTACTTCAGTTCCCCACAATGCCATGGTCTAGGCCAAATGGAGACAGTGACGTGCATGGCAACGTCCACATGGTCATGAAAATGCTCCCCGACCTGCAGCGATTCCTGGCGCTTGGATATGTACTGATTCAGTCCAAGGGAGAGCTGGTCTTGGGGCCAGAGCGAATCAAGGAGATCAAAGCCACAGTGAGCAATTCACCGCAAATTTCTCCTCGCTGCGCCTTGCTCTTCCGGGCAAACAACAGATTGAAGACAGGGGTTAAACGCCTGTGTGTGTGGCAGCGTGTTTGGTTAATCTCTACATTTTGGAATGTGATGCATGCAAGTAGGAATGCAACACGACACGACCTTTTTTCCCACTACAGGACTCTTTGGGCAACTGCCTGCGAGATTGCGAAGATGGCTATTGATGAGTCCAAGGCTGCTTCTGAGGCTGAGCGGTTGGCTACGTCTTTGACTGAGCTTGTGAAGAAACTTGGTCAGCCGCCAGCGCTTGCTTCCAGTGCCACCTTTAATGAGGTGAAGGAAGCGGGTTTCAATTGCAGCAGTGCAAAAGACTACCTTGTAGCCTGTCAGGAGTTGAAAGCTGATGAAGCTGCAAAGAGTGCAGATCAATTGAAGAGCGCGCTTGAAGAGATGACTACATCCATGAACTCTGAGTTCTTTTCTGATGTGGAGGTCACATTCAGTAAACATGTTCAGGATTTGTGGCTGGAAGAGCCAAAGGCCTACCTGTACTTACCATGCCGAGACAAGGATGAGGTTATGTTGGCGATTTGGAAAGCTGCTACGAAAGGCCGATTGAGTTTTTGGTTGCTCCCAAGTTCTTTGAAGGTTAAATTTGGCTAGGCTACAGCTACAACCTGCTAAATGTGTCACTCACGGATTCACTCGCCCGAAGGCCTTATTTGCGCAAGAGTTCTTCGCCAGGATGTGGATCAGAACCTTGCTTTGAGTGAGTTCGCCAGCATGTTGCTTCACTATGCGGTAGAGGAGAAGCCCACATTAAAGGATTCATGTGCTGCCAGAGCAGGTTTGCAGAACACATTGGCTTCATGCCACAAGCTGGAGGGGCTTCCAAAGTGGGTGAAGGAAGGCAGACTTGCTTTGGATCGTTTTGACCAGCAGCTCACGAATGTGGGGAAACATGAATGGAAGCAGCTCTTGGCCACTGACGGGCCAGTCAAGGCTTTGCAGGTTATCCAAGATCAGAAGCTCGAGCTGAGTCCAGAGTTGGACAAGCTGGTGGGTGTGCTGAAGCAAGCCCATGTGCTTCAAGGTTTGGTTTCCTCCCCAACTGACCCCCTTACTCAGCAAGCCAAAGCACTGCTGACCATTGACAGCTTGGAGATTGAGAACATAAAGTTCTTCTTTCCAGACCTGATGGACACTTTGTCATCCTTCAGGAGCCAGGCGCATGAAAATTTATCAGCCGGTCTTTCCAAGATTGAGGACATGCTCAAAACTGGCAAGGGTAAAGTCTCCAAGTACAGGCCCGGTTCTAAAACAAAAGGTTGTTTGTAGGCTGGTGCCCAAAAGAAACAATGATTACAATTAACAAGTAACGAGTACCAGTACAATACATAATACAATAATTCAATTACAATTGAGTTCAAATTACAATAGACTAGTTGAGATGACAATTAATCAGTTACACCACCGGACAAGACTAGACAAACAATGACCCAACTTGAACTCAGACAACCACTTTTGTGCACTTTGGTGTCAACCCTTCAGTCTTGTGGTGGAGAGCGTGACGCATTGGAACTTGGCTGCTGTGCTGTGGATGTTTGAGGGGGAGAACGAGAAAGCCTTGGATGAAGCATTCGCGAGTTTGGTTGAGTGGCGTGATGATCTCAGGAAGGAGGCCAAAGTCTTGGACATTTTTTGGCCTTTCGATCATCATCAAAAGCCTCCATTGACCATGTCCTTTCCAGAGCAAAACCTTTGCGGAAGGATGTTGAGGTGGCAACGGGCCAAAAGTGTGTGCTAATTTGTCTTGAGTCTCAATTGTTTTTTTCCCATATGCATATTGCCACTGGAAATTGTGGGTCAAGTATTGGATTCATTGACCAAATTCAGGAGATGTGCAATTTGGTCTCTATGACTGTGGCCTGTGGCATGGCAGCCGAGTGCATCATCCACGCAGACAGCTATGATGGGCAAAGGCTCTCAGTTGCCAGAAAGGTCTCTGGCTTCATGTCACAGACCCTTGGCATGTCCCCTTCCGATCTCCCAGAGACACTCCGGAAGAAGTTCGACATCTTCAGCAAGGGTGATTCTTTGCCCAAGGAAAGCGCAAAGCCTCTTGACTTTTGCTTAACCTCCAAGTGTTTGTTTCCATTGCTCAAGAAATTGCATTTTTCACTTTTTTTGAAGTTACTTTTTCATGTATCCTTATTTTCATTGGGACAGCCACAGCTGGAAATTTGTAAAACAAAAGCCAAAGCCATCTCCCAGGGCAGATGCGAAGCATGGTGACAATGGTGATGGTAATGGTGATGGCAAAAAAACCCGGAAGCCGCCACGGAAGTCCAGGGAGTTGATGGAAGAGCCAAAAGCCAAGGCCAAAAGGGTCAGAACCAAGAAGTGAGTGGGAATTGTCCATTCCCTCATTTAGATGTGACCACTGTGGTCCAGCAGGGGGTTTCGCTTGAGTGGATTCAGAGGAATCTGACCTCAGACTAACCAATGGTTCAGGAACGGAAAAAGACAGAGTGCAAAGCGGCAAGCGCTGTGTTTACATTTTTTTATGCAGTTGATTGAACACACTGAGTGGATTTTGGGTCGTTTTGGTGGATGGTGGGGTCTGTGTGGGGCCTTTTGCCTGTCCAAACCCCCAAATATATTATAAATAGTCTGGGGCTAGTTATAAATAGTCTCAAGTGTATGTTTGAAGCTGACAGGCAAAGAGGCCCACCCAGACCCTAAACTATATATATATATATATTGTACTAAAAACGACCTTTGGGTCAAGATTCCAAGAAGAAGACGAAGCTGTTGTTGTTGTTGTTGTCGTTTTCTCGAGAGATGCCAAGAATGGCAACCACAAACAAGATCCCGTAATGTTTGGCACTCCGATTAGACACCATGTTGCTCTATTCCAGTCACGGTTAGATGTTGTCGCCGAATGTCTCCAACTTCTTGAGATTCATTCTATGACATGCGCAGTATGTTCTAAGCCGCAAAAGTTCCTAAAATCACATTCTCCAGGGTTCATTTTGAGAAAGACCGATGGAGAACCATCCTTCCGGCGCCACATCTGGCACATCCACCGAGATGCAGCGACCGGCGAGGCCAGCCCTGCACCAGTTCGCGGAGGTCGTAGGGCAGTGGACGGAGAAGGCCCTTGCCCAACTCGTCTCGGTGCCATGTTCGGACGAAACGGGAAACGAGATGGGAAGTTGAGCTATTCAATAGAGATTCCATTGGATCCACCCTCATTCCCTACGAGTCGCACAAGTCAGACATGTGCTATCATGTACTGTTTCATGGCGATTGGTGCCGTGTGTGGGCTTATATCAGTATATTTGGTTTGATGAAAGGTCCAAAAAGTCCGCCTGGTAGAGTTGAGGTAGCGATGATGACATGGTAAGGGGAAGGGAGCATCCGCAACTTGTGTTTACTCCTTCAATTCATCGCGTCATATGATCGTTCACCAAACTTGCATCTTGCACATCTTGC